CGCTCCCGCTTCCGCTTCCTGGGCGGGCGCCGGGGCCGGGGCCGGGGCCGGGGCCGGGGCGGGCGTGCTGCGGGCCGAGGCGATGCCTTTCCTGCACGGCTTCCGCCGGATCATCTTCGAGTACCAGCCCCTGGTGGACGAGATCCTGGGGGCGCTGGGGATCCCGGACCCGGAGAGGCAGGAGACCCCCGAGAGGTACGCGGCGGCCGGGCAGGGGCCCAGCACCCCCGGCCAGGGCTGTGTCCACCCGGGTCTTAAAACACCTCCGAGCACGGAGACGGCAGCGCCCCCGGGCGACCCGGTCCCGCGCGCCCCTCCCCCCCGGAGAAAGTTTCCCCTAATATCCAGCCTCGACTTTCCTTGCTGCAGCCTGAGCCCATTGCCCCGTGTCCTGTCACCTGCCCCAGCTCCATCCTCTCTGCCGCCCCGCTGCGTGCGGGTCCCTCTCGCCCCACTGAGAGGACGCCCCGCAGGGGAGCGTCCGTGGGGCCCAGGTTCGCTGCGCAGCGCCCAAGCGTGCCTGGCGGCTCCCTCTGCCGCAGGGCAGCTCCGGGGAGGGAGGCGAGCGCGTGTCAGCGGAGAGGAGAATGTCACCTGCTCCGGGGTTCCCTTGAAGCCGCAGACGGGCTCTTCGGCCCCGGGGCCCATGCGGGGCGGGAGTCAACCCCTGTAGTAAGAGCTCAGCAACCTCCCTCCCAGCTGCTGCAACTTCAGTCGGAGCAGGTCAGACATCCGTGCGGGGCAGCGAAGGCAGGCAGCCATCTGCTGCGGGACCCGCCGGCTGGCGTCGTGCGCCACTGATGTGCCGACGTTTGGCACCTGTGCGCTGGGCCGGGACCCGCCGAAAGGAATCGGGTGCCCGCTTCGCGCCGAGAGCCAGCGATGTGGGTGCCTTGGTGCGAGGGGCAGAAGGAAGTGGAGCGTGGCGGGCAAAAGGCTGGGTTGACGGACAGGACTGGCTGCATTGTCCCAGCTGCGGTGCGGGGTCGCCACCTGCGTTTTCTAGGCTTCAGCTCTTGTCTCCCTCGTTCAGGGCACTTTTCTGCTGTAGCAGCATCCTCGGAGCTCCTCCAGCGAGGTGATCCTAACCCATCGGCACGAGCCGGGGTCTTTCCACTGGCTTTACTGGCTTTGACTCGGGCTGTCTAGGAGCAGAAACATGCATAGCTCTAAAGCCTAATCGGTGACTTCCCTGTGCCCCAAGCCCCAGCTGCCTGGCTGAAGATAGGAGCAGGTTCCCGGTCCTCAGCGAGGTTCTGGAGAGAGAGACCCAGTCCCCTTTCTACCAGGAAGGAGTGAGCTATTCCTTGCTGAAGGTCGCTGAGCTTGGGCTGGTGCACGTGGCTGAAATCCTCCTGCAGTATGGGGCCGACCTCATCTTTGAAGGTAAATCCATGGGTGGCATCGCAGGGGATGGGAGGAGGAGGGGAGGGCTAGTGCTGGTGGGTGGGTCCTGGACACGATAGACCACAAGGCCTCGTTCAATCCCGAATTCCCAAGCAGCAACACAGCTTCCTGCGCCTGCATTTATGGGGCCAAGCTCCAGCCCTTCCTCGTGGTGTAGGGCGCTCCCTTGAAGGGGCTCTGGGAGGAGGGCGCCGGCGGAGCTGCGGGAGGTACTGCTTTATCTATCTGGGGCAGTGCCATCCTGCAGGTACCTTCTGTCACCAGGGTGGTGCAGAGCAACACCCTGTCCCCATGAAATGGCAAAGGTGTGTTGCATCAGCCCGACACTCCCTGCTCCTGCTGGTGCATGGCTCAGGGCGCCACAGGAGCCCACGCCGCTCTGCTCTGTTGGCGCCGGGTTTCTGTGACATCACGTGTGGAACGCTGGTTGCCTTTCTGCGGCACGGCCGCTTCTAGACAGGGCTGGTCCCACCGCCTGGGGGGCCTCCGCCTACTGGTAGGGGCTGGGGAGCTGGGAGGAGTGGACCATGAGCTGCATCCCTTGCTGCCCCTGCCACGGTGATGTAGCAGCGTTCAATGGTGAGTCTCTCTCGCATCCATCTTGTTTCCACGGAGGTGGAAATCATGGGCCTGTCAGCTGCTGGGGTGATGTGGGCTCCTAGGTTGAGCTTCTCTTTCTGTGCTGCTAGTGGCTGGGAACCAGTTTGTTCATGGCAGAGCTCCCCCAGGGAAATTTGCTCCGTGCTGGTTGGTGATGGCACCTTGTCCAGTGGGGTTTTGGCCCCAGCCAGGGCTGGGGGTCTAGGCCTTCTTTCCCTGTGTCCCAAGGGTGCCCAAGGACTCCCAGCCACCTCAGGCCTCGTTTTCTGCTGCCCCTGTGGCCAGGGAGGCTGCAGGGCTGAGGACCAAAGAATGCACTGTCCTTTCACCCTTGGTAGCTTTACTGATGTGCCACTTCACCAGGGCTGCAGTTCAAGCCCAGGGCTGTGCTACACCATCACTTTTGGGGGCTGTCTTCAGTGGACCAGGGCCAGGTACCTGGGATGTCCTATTGTCTGGCAAGGGTCTGCAGGTTGGACTGCAGACTCAGCTTGTCAGTCTGTGCTTGTTTTAGGTTCAGGAGCCTGAGTTCTAGTCCACTCAGCCCTTTCAGCCTCTTGGATACCAGGCTCCATCTGTAGCTGGGGGGTCAAGTAGATGCCTTGCCTCCCCTGGACTCCCTGACCTGCTGATTCTCTTGCCTTAGATCCTGTCACCTATTACACTGCTCTGCACATCGCTGTTCTCCGAAACCAGCCTGACATGGTGGAGCTCCTGGTACAGCGTGGGGCAGACATCAACCGAAGGGACCGGGTAGGGAGCATAGCCACTTCCAGACAGGGATGAGCCCAGTCCAGCCCTCTGGTCTCCTCTACCTCTCTGAGACTGGTAACTCCTGCTAGGAGCCAGGGGCTTGCTGTGGTTTCATTGTGTGTGTGTGGGGGGAGGATCACCCCCTCATTGCTAAGGTCTCATGCTGGTTGGGCCCAGTGGAGTGTTGCCTCCTGAAGGGCAGCTTGCACTGGCTGCAAGTCTGTGGTAAGGGCAGCCATCACCCTGTTTGGTAAACTATGTGTGGCCCTTTGACATGTCAAGCACCTTTTGTAGCCCACTGGTCGAGCAGATCTTATAGGCTTTGCCTGTGTAGTGATGCTCCTGATGCAAAGAGTGTGGGGACTTCAAAGGAGAGGTGATAGTACCTTCTCCTGGTATCACTGGCCCCTTGTGAATGTGGAATGTACTTGGTGCCTTGAGCAGTCTGCATGAGGCCTCTATAGCAGATAGCGATGAGAGGGTCACTCACCATCCCTCCCTCCTCCCTTCTGCACAGATTCACGAGAGCAGCCCCCTGGATCTCGCTAGTGAAGAGCCTGAACGGCTGCCGTGTTTGCAGCGTCTCCTCGAGCTCGGCGCAGACGTCAACGCGGCTGACAAAAATGGTTTGTGCCCCTTTGCCCCATGCAGGCAGAGTTTACTGACCTCCTTGCCCTCCTCCTGGGGCACTTGACTCCCAGGTAGAAAATAAGCAGCAGCACGTGGAGAAGACAAAAGGTAGCGCAGTCTAGTCAGAGCAGGACAGAAGGACTTGGGTTCTTCTTGCCAAAGCAGCTGAGTCTGGAAATTGAATCCCCCATGTGCTCAGACCATTTTAAAACCAATTTGAAAATTCAGCTGGCCAGCTGTGTTCTGCACCCCTTCCCTGCGGTCAGTAGTGCTTGCACTAGGGCTCCTGCTAGTTCTAGGAAAAATGAGGCAGGTAAGACTGAACTCTAGGAGAAGGGGCCTGGTTCCTAGCTGTGCTTTAAGCACTTCAGCATTGCCTGGGGTGTTCTGGCTGCATCGGTCAGGGCTACACTAGCAGCAGTCATGGTGCAACATTTGCAGGCTGTATGGTCGCCTTCTACATGTTACATTTATGCCACAATTAACATGTAAATTACAGCATAAATGACAAAGCTTATATATGCACCCAATTTAAGGCACCATAAAATGGCAAACCAGCCATAAAAGTGTTCTCCATATAATGCAGAGCACATCTATGGCTGGTTCACACAGCACTTTACACTGAACTGATTGTCAGCTCTGGCCACAGCCCTGTATGCAGCTGCCTTTCAACTTGCCAGTGCAGGGGCAGCCCAGGATCAAGAAATGGCATGGGGAAAGGTGTGATTGTTGGGATCCGGAATAGATGCCATGGCCCCTTTAAATAAACATGTGCCAAAGGCTTATGAAAGTTTATTTTCATGTGCTCACATGCTAGTGTTTAGTGCTCCCTCTCGTGATGCTACAGCAGCATTGCATCACCCAGCAGTGTTCCCAGGGCTACGTGCGCTCCTGCTCTAACTTCCAGCAGCATCTGCATTGCTACATACTGCACGGTAAAGGGATGTGCTGGGATCATACCAGCATGCTGGTTGCCCGCTCTTTGCATAGTGAAGCAGCGTATGAACAGGCTGCATTGTTGCCTGTACAAGTAGGTCTGTTGGAAGCTGGTAGTGCTCTCCAGTGCACCAGAAGGGCCCAGAAAGCATGACAGCATAAAATACTATCTCTTCAGTCATCACCTTAGTGTGGCTGTTGCTCACTGTGCTCCACACTTCCCTCTCCAGGCAAGACTGCCTTGCTGCATGCCCTGGCCAGCAGTGATGGAGTCCAGATCCACAACACCGAGAACATCCGTCTCCTGCTAGAAGGAGGTAGGGGCAACCTGGTTCCCCAGGGTGAATAATGGAAGCTCTTTGAGGCAGGGACCATCTATCTTCCATGTCAGCCCAGCAGGGAGGCCCTGACCCATGCCCATGGCTTCTATGCATCAAATAGGAAGGCTGACCATGTGATGCTTGGTCCTAGCCCTTCCTCCCTTGTGTTGGCCAGACTGGAGCTACGTCTCTGCTGACTGACTCAAAGCAGCTCCTAAACCAAGGAGCCCCCCAGCTGCTCCCTTTAACACCACCATTAGTATTTCTGTGCAGGTAAAAGCTTTGTACTACTAAACTTTTGCTGGGATTATCTGATCTGGTGGCAGAAGCTGGGTCAGTAAGATGCCAGCCATCCACATAGGACACCTTGTGGGTTTTCCTCTGTGCCCAGAGCCTCTTGCACTCTGTGCCAGGCAGGCTGGGCGGTGAAGAAATTCTGCTCAGTGCGCAGCAGGGATCAAGAAGACCAACCCTGCTAGCAGTGCATAAGGTAGGGTAAGAAAGCTGGGTCGGTTCAGAGAGCCCTTGTACAAATCCACGGCATAGCCCTGCCTGGAAAACTGCTCACTCCTGCTCATTCCTCCTTTAAAAAGGAGGATCTAGTCGAAGTAGGGGCACTAAGAAGATAGAAAAGCTCCTGTAGTCTCAGCAGCCTCTAGGAAAAACTGGTGTCAGCTTAGGGAAGATGCCCCATATAAGAAAGGGCACAGAGAGGTGCAGGCACCCAGCTTTTGCTGTTACAACCCCTGCTCCAGCAAGTCCATGTCTTCAAGTCTGTTTGACAGCAGCTCCCTCCCTCCTTCATTGTTCCTTGCTTCAGGTGCAGATGTGAAGGCCACCACAAAAGATGGTGACACTGTCTTCACCTGCATCATCTTCCTACTTGGGGAGACAGTGGGAGGAGATCCAGAGGAGGTGCAGATGATCCACCACTTCTGCTTCCGAGTCACGCAGCTACTTATGGCCCATGGAGCCGACCCCAGCGAGTGTCCTGCCCAAGAATCCCTCACCCACATCTGCCTCAAGAGCTTCAAGCTCCACTTCTCACTCCTGCGCTTTCTGCTGGAATCGGGGGCTTCCTACAACTGCTCCCTCCATGGACCCTCCTGCTGGTCGGGCTTCCACATCGTCTTTGAGCGACTGTGCTCCCACCTCAGCAGCTCTGAGGATGACAGCTTCTCGGCAGACCTGCTGCAGAAAGCAGAGACTGTGCTGGAGCTCATGGTGGCCAGCGCTCAGACTGTGAAGCTGCCCAGCAACTTTGAGGTCAACTTTAGCAGCTGCAGGTTCCAGGGGGAGAAGATCAAGGCCCTTTTCCATTCCCTAAAGCAGCTGGAGCGTTCACCTCAGGCCCTGAAGCACCTCTGCAGAGTTTACATCCGGCAGCACCTCAAACCTTGGCCAGTAGATATGAAAGTAAAGGCCCTACCTCTTCCAGACAGGCTGAAGTGGTATCTCCTCATAGATCACACCCACGCCTGTAGTGAGGGCATCTGAGCCAGGCTGCTTTGCCCACAACCACTCTTGGGTCTGTTTCCTGTCCCAAAGAGCAAATACTTCCTCATGCCCTAGACTGACTTTCTCCACTGCAAACCAGCGCTTTGTTTGATCATGCTGCTTAGATACCACTGTTCACCAAGTCCAGCTTTGCATGCGTATGCTACTACATGCACTGTGTTGGCCTTGCTCCTTCGGAAAGGAATGCCCCTGACACCATGCTACCTCAGTCCACTTCGGCCTGTTTGGGGTGGGAAGGTAGCTGGACTCTGTGCCTTTAAGAAGGGCCAGGCTACTCTGGTGCAGCGGACTTAAACGAAAGGCCTGCTTGGATTTGGGATTATGAGCATGGCCTCAGAAGCACGTAAGGCAGCACTGAGAACCACAGGACCCTGACAGTGCAATAACTAAACATGCTGGAGTGCTCAGATGAGGCAGGATAACCTTGCCCCCTCTAAATCCCATGGGCCACAAGTAGTTCCTGCTGCTCCCCAGAGTTGGGACCTGTGGGGAGCAGTGCCTTAGCTGGGGTGTCAGACCACAGTCCAGCTGCCTACTGCTCAGGGGTGGGCAGAGAGTGCGTGGCAGTGGGGAGAGGTGTATCCCCCAGGCCAGGCCTAAGAGCAGCTGGTCTTATCACAGGGGGCTGATGGCCTGTCTCCAGACCCCTGTATACCACACCCTTTGGAGGAGCAGCCCACTTTGCAAAGGACAGGACTGACACCCGCCAGATACTTAACCCTCTGTAACCTGTGAGAAGGGCAAGAGAGCAGCTCACTTTCTCCGTGCAGCTGACAGCCCTTGGTGAAGAGTCGGCTGCCTCTGTGGTTTGTAGACTAAAGTGGGATGTACAGCACAATGCTAAGAAGCCAGCACACCATGCAGCACTTGAATGACACACAGCAACGATTCTCCTGTGTGGCCTAGCAGCAGATTCCCTTGCAGCCTCTGTGGCTCTTAGCTGGTGCTGTCACACGGGGAGGTGGAGCCTGGCTGTGGACTGCCCCTGTTGCATTGTGCCTTTGGTGTGATGGACAAATCTAACATCCTTATCTCCATTAAACTGGCTTCCATCCCAGGGTCTATCACCCTCCCCTTTGCTCTGAAGGCCACAGGACATCCTCCACCCACACGGAAGAGATCCCTGCAAAGGCCCCACTGTGCTCCTTTGCCCAGACTGAGCAAAACTTAAGTACTTGAGGCCCTGTGACCCAAGGAGTGGGACAGGGACAACCCTGGTTTTCCTTCTCCTGTGTTCTAGTACCGCAGCATGTTTTGCTACTGCTAACTTGGCCTAAAACCTACATCACCAGTCACAGTACCACTGCCTCAGCACAGCTACATCACGTTACTGTGCCAAAGTGCCAAAGCCAAGCAGCTGCCCAACTGTTTCTTACCACTGGGGAATCCGGCTAGAAACCCTGCTCTGATCGGCTGTGAGATACAAGCAGGGCACTAAAAGACTTCAGTCACCCAGGGCTGGAGCAGCTGCATCCAGAAGCAGGGTCGCTGCCTCGCATTTGCCTTGCACTGCAGGACACGTGTAAAACTTACCAGGCTGCCCAAGTCTGTCCACTCATGGCTTCTTCCTCCCCCCAGCAAGTAGGGGTCATATTGGTAAACTGATGTACAATTAAACACAACACTGGTGTCTTGAATCAGATCAAGCAATTAAAATGAGACCTTTTGTAACACAAGTGTCTGTTTCCTCTAACAGATAGCCCAGGGCACTGAGCAGCCTTTGGCTAGATCTGGCCTTTGGCGAGATGGGGGCTTTGACTAAGGCACCCTTTAAAAGATCAGAGAACGTCTGGTCAGCCAAGCCATGCTGATGGACCAGGCACCTTAACAGCCGTGTTTCCAATGAAAACAGCCGACTACGCTGGGTCATGTTGGGCTGCGCATCCGACTAGCTCCTTGCTGTGTTCTAAGCCAGCATAAGTCTGACAAAACCTGTCAGACTACAGTGAAACTCCTCTGGCTTTGCACAGTGGCAGTTATAGCAGGTTACCCTAGGCTGAGAGCAAATTCCCAAGGAAGAATCTGGCTTGGCTGGTTTTGTGCTCAGTGAGGACAGCATAAAGCCTCCAAGTTATCCAGAGCCTCGGAGAAAAGTAGAATTTTGCTTGCCAAGGCAGGGCCCAGGAAGACAGGACTCCAGGCTTACCCCTGGCTCTGTCACATGCCTACGTGATGTTAATAGCTTACTGCTTCAGGGCTCCAGTGGCTCACGGTTTGTGGGCCCAGCCTGAAGAACGCTACAGTTCTGTAAGACGCTGTGGAGCATCCCAGTCAGCTTCTGTAGACGTCTTCTTCAGTGGTACAGGATTGCCCGCAGCCAGTGTAACCACACTGATCTCTGAATTAAGAACTGTTGCTCTTTCCTTTCCTAATGTTCACTTAAATGGTGTTGGCTTCTCTCTTTACCTGGAGCCTTTGATGCTAAAGTCCCTCAGAGCTTTGTTACTGAGAGAAAGCACATGTAGGATACACCGAGACCTGCATCACTGCAGCAGTATAAACACAGTAGTTTATGATTTTTAAGAGCATTTGCCTTGCAAGAGGGAGAGAGAGAGAAGCCAACCATGTCATGAAGTCAGCTAAGGCTCGGCCACTGTTTTACATAGCAGGGTCTCAGATGCTCCAGCACACAGGCACAGGCCATGAGGAGGGAACAGCAAAGATCCTAGAGGGACGTCCTTGCTCTTGGCCTCACCCTGTTGGAGCCTACCCATCAGCCTCAATCAGGGGCTCCAACAGACTGCATCTCGCAGGATCTCCACAGCTCCCTGCCTATGCTCAAGTTTCTCAAAGGCAGCCAGATGCCAAACCTGCCAGAGGGAAGGGGAAGGCAGCACATGACAGTTAAGGGTACTAGTCTGCATCTGCTGCCTGGCAGCCAGGTAAGCTTAGGGAGGCATATGCAGTATTTTCTGGGGGTAGGCAACTGCCAAGCCCTCACACCTGGCCCTCTCCCCCCACGCACACCAGCTGTGTCATCCACACCCCTCCTGCTTATGCACTTATAAGCGACCTTTGTGCTACAAGTATGCCGGGTTTTCAAGCACAGTCTACATGCCAGGAGGTGCAATAAAGCAAAAGTGTATTTGGCAGACATCTCTTCACAAACAGCAGTCATGTGGAAGACAAGCCCCGTCCTCTTAACCAGCCCCAGCAGGGTCCTCGGGACACCCCTAGGTGCCCAATGTGAGGCTTCCAGACCCTATTACTGGTGGCAACTTCACCCCTACCCCCAGGAGGAACCTTCTGTGCTGGTCCCATGCTCCAAGCTGGCACAGGGTACCTCTTGGCAAACCACTTCCTCCAGCCAGGGTTCATCGCATGGCAAGAGTATAAACGTGGTAGATTTCATCCGGGAAGTTCTCCTGTCGTTCTTCGGCCAGGAGATTAAGCCCCGCGCACCGGATGATCTTTCGGACCACGTCCAGGTCGCGGCACACGCTGCTGTCCACATCATCCATGATGACTCCTTCCTGGGCCATGTTGTCCTTGATGACGATGATGCCATTGGGACGCAGGCCGGCCTTGCATCGCTTCAAGAAGTCAGATAGGTGGTTGTCGGTCAGATGTCCTGGCATGGGGCAGAGTGGTAGGGGTTAGTTGGGACTGAGCAGAACAACTAACCCTGGACACAGGGCAGGGAGGATCCCTGCTGAAGGAAGGGAGGAGAGTGGAAGGGAAATGGAGCCCCAAGTAGATTGCACACTAGCTAATGGACATCAGTCCAAGGTACCCTGCACTCTTGAAGGCTGGCAGGGGAAGGGAGACTTACCTATCACCCACTGAATCCAGATGACATCGTAGGTGTTAGGCTCAGGGCTGAAGTCCTGCAGGCCGCAGCAGAAGTAGTTCCTCACACGCCTGCCCTCCTCCCCCAGGTAGGTCCTTGCCTTGGTCAGGAAGTCTTGTGTCACGTCCACCATGTCCACAGTTTTGAAAAGGGGCAGGAGCAGCCTCTTGGTGATCCTGCCAATCCCAGCCCCACAGTCCAGGGCACAGTGGGCCCCTGTCTTGTTGGGGCCGTCCTGAAACAGTAAAGATGGGCAGGAGAGAGTGAAGGCCACAGAGAGTGACCTCCACGCCCATGAGTTGCAGTAAAGGTGTGTGGGAACTGGATTGTGGCAATGCTGGCAGGACCTAAAGCCCTGCTTAGCTGTAGACCAGTGGGGGCCAGCAATATTGCAAGCTTCCCTCAAGTTGCCCTGCTGGGTCACCAACAAGAAGAGCTCTCTCCAAGAACAGGTGAGTGGCTCGGTTGCACTCAATCCTCTGTTTCTCTGCTACCACACTCCTTGTGTGACTTGTTCTGCCTGGTTAGGGACTGCACTGAGATCACTTTCCAGTGGATGAGGCTGGGGGCTGGCTGCAGGTGCAGCAACTTGTCAGACATCAGCACGATTCACATGCTGTGAAGAAGGGGAAGTGGCCATCTAGTAACCTTGGTGACTTTATAGAGGATAGATCTTGGGGCAAAGCTGGCCAACGCGTACCAGGGATCGAAGGAAAGAAATAACAGACCTCATTCCTCCTTGTGCAGAAAGGGGCTGGCTCTAAAGGAAGTGCTATGGAGAGCTGTGGCAGGGGAAAGCCACACAGCAGCTGGTGGCTGTGAGAACACGGGATCTGTCTGACACTTCCCCCCAACCCCTGCACAACCCTCTCCCATCAGATCCAAGTTACTTGCCCGAAGAAACTTCAGCAGGAACTTCTTGGAGCTATCGATGTCAATGCTGGAGATGTGGCCATACCCGCCCAGCATGCCGTCCACAGTAGGGGGTATGTCCTTCCAGTACTTCTGAGCCTTGGAATAAAACTCCATCTCGTCCTCCACCACCTCGCTGGTCATGCTGCCAAGCAGAAACACACCTGGGCTGGGAACCGGATCAGAGCTTTGCCTGCTCCTCAAAGAGGAGAACAGATAGATAAGCCTGGCACAAGCATAAAGCAAGTTTGCCCATGGAGCAGTTCTTCTCCCAGAGACCAAGCAGTGTGGTGCACCACCCGCCCCTCTCTGAGCAGCGCTTGCATCCACGCTATGCTCTTTTGGAGAGCATACCCCCAGTCGTCCAGACCTGTTCTAAACGGGGCCTTTTTACCACCACTCGGCCTTTTATTCTGCAGCAAACCAGGAGTGGGGCTGAGATCTAACCCACTGCACTTCATGCCCCAAGCTGGGCACAATACCTCAGGTGCAGACAAACCTAGGCCTGCTCCAGGATGGCTGTTTGAGACTGAGCTTCCACTTTCACTATCTGCTCTCTGCCTTGCCCTGCCTTAGCACCTTGAGTATTACCATTTTATAGATTACATGTTTATCTATGTTGACAACCCCATCAATTACTTCCAATTACATCCCGAGTAGCTAAAAGTTATTATAAGCACCTACCTGACAACTGTAAATTTCAGCTGCGGCCATAAGTTGGATATTTTGCAATATAATAAAGTCAAGGTATAAGCAGCAATACAAGCCATAAATCCCCCAGAGACAGCTCGTAATTCAAACCGCCGAGGACTTGATTAACTGCGCTGGGGATTAGAAACTAGATTTAAGGTGGCCATAGGGTAAATTCAAGGACCTCAAACACCTTTGCAAATAAATATATGGTCTCTGGGGGACTGACTCTCCCAGGAAATACTCTATTAAGTATAAAGCCTTTTCTAAGACAGCTTAAACAGTTTCAATGCCCTTGCTTGATTTTAAATAGCAACAGGGGAACAAGAAAAGACGGGACTCAAATAGCTCTGGGGCAGGGAGCTGTGATGTGACTCACCTTTAGATCCCAGGTTCAAATCTGGCTTGGGGTCGAAGCGATCAACAATTCCCTGTTCTGTGGCCTGTGTGGAAAGAGAGAGGCAGGTCTCAGTCCAGTGTCCCGACTGCATACGTGGTCAGTCCCACCAGTGTAACAATTAGCTACCACATCACCAGAGAAGTCAGCTACTGAATAACCAGGGACTGGATGCCCCTCGGGAGACCCCAGCATATGATACGGCATCGTGATGGAGAAGTTTGTGGCAGCAAGTCCTGTTCTATTCTGACTGCGGGGATCGCAGCGGGTGTCAGTGGCCAGGGAAGGGCGGGCCACAGCACTTGCTGCAGACCTGGGTGACGCAGGAGATATAGGAACCTGCAGAGGCGTGGGGGTGCTGCTGGCCACACACCTTTTACAAACACTGAGGTCCAGTAATGACACCTACAAAGCATGCCACATCCCCTTGCTCCCTAGCTGCGGTAGGGAGTGGGGGAGGAAAGTGAGGAGTCCTGGTCCCCATGCCACGACTTCCACCCTCGTGCGTGATCCGGCTGCCCGGTGGGGGCGGGGAGCTCACGCAGCTCCAGCAGCTCCCCTCCTGGGACAAGTCCCACTCTTCCTGCGGCATCTCTGGCAGGCGGAGAGCGATCCCTGCCCGTGGGGCGTGCACAGCGATACCGAGTGACTGCTGCCTCTCACAGCCTCCTCCTAAGGCCTCGTCCAGCCCTGTCATGTGAAACCGGGCGCTGGAGGCCAGGGGCTGTGCCCTGCAGCCTGTCAGGCCAAAGAACGCAGCAGGCGGCTGTCGGGCGAGCAGCCGGGGCCTGGGTCACATGAGCGCTCAGGAGAGCGAGGGGGGCAGAGTCGGAGCTAAATATACATGGGCCACCTCGTGTGCCCGCGTCCCCAGCTGGGCCGGC